ACATTGCAAAATAAATTCAGCTGTCACCGGATTTTCAACTCTTTTGTTTGTACCATCTCTTGATGCAGGTAAAAAAAAATGGTGACTCTTCTCGGTCTCCTTTCTGCTAACGAGGTCGGTGAATTAGAGGCGAGCGGCGACAGCTTTCTGAGTGGGAAGCTTTCCTCCTAGACAAAGAGACAAGATTGTTTTAAAGTTCCTCAAGAGAAACACAACACTCTTTTCTCTCACTGGCAGTTTGTTTCTCACCTAAAGTGTCCTCCAATGAGTTCACCATCACCGTGTCCACCTTTAACGTCTCCTGATCCGCGCTGAAGGGACAAACATTGAGCGGTTATTATTCTGCACAAAATCAAGTTCATGGGGACTATTTCTTTGGTAGAAAGTAGTTCCAGTGACAATGTGTATCAGATTTTTCGATGGGTTATCAAATCAATCAATTAGACTTGAACTAACATTTTTCATACACAAATTATAACAAATCTAAAAACAATACCACCCCCCAGGTAATAAATACCAAGTAACACACTCCTTCATGATTTAGTCAAAAAACACAGGACTGAATTAAACAAGAATTACACTTTATAAACCCGTTTTTAAATAGAAAGATTTGTTTTCCTATTATGATTTTTGGGGGTTAACCCTCTCCTGTAATACCAGGGTATATGCAGGAGTCCTGAAGTCAGACCTTTTTTAAGACCCTTTCCATACATTTTAAGACCTCATCGCCACTTGGAGTTTTAACCGGTTACCTTGGCGACACACTTTACCCCACATTTACTATATACAGTATTGATTGTCCTTCCTCCTTATCTTCCAACCATTTGGACGCAGACTTGCATTTCCCCATAACGATGTTGTTTAAAGGGCATTTTCCAAGGTATTACATTTAGTAGCTTGTTTTCAATAAGTATATAAATGGTCCAAAGAGGTTGTATTCTACAGTCTGCCTGAATGTAATCATTGCGTAGGTGTGTAGTGTGATTCTGTGTAGTTTATTGATGGCATCCCGTTGGATGTGACGTCATCTGAACAGGACATCGCACGCTCACTGCTTGATAGCGCGGAGGTCTGTTTACGCCGGTTGTTAATACTTTTTAATAGCCTTCATTTTCGCTAAATTGATTGATCAACTTTGAATACTTTTCAAGACCCCGTGGACACCCTGTAATCAAAGCAGAAAGATGATCAAAACAAACTTACCCTTTGATTTTCTGCACCGCTCCAAGTCGGAGCAAAGCGGCCAGAGAGTTCTTCTGGAGGTCAGACGACAACACCTCCGTGTATCTTAAACTACCTAAAAAACACACACACATACAACACACAATCAGTACATTCTGTAGTAGAGGACTGAAATAATAGCACATTTAAAATTATGTGAGAAACGTTTAAAAAGGTAGAAACCTGCTAAAAGACGTTTGATGATGAACTTCCGGACGGCAGGAATAAACAGTTTTTCTGTCAGAGTCTCAGTGGCTTCTTCACACAGGAACCGGCACACCACCTACACACACACACACACACACACACACACACACACACACACACACACACACACACACACACACACACACACACACACACACACACACACACACACACACACACACACACACACACACACACACACACACACACACACACACACACACACACACACACACACACACACACACACACACACACACACACACACACACACACACATACACGTAAATAAGCCATCTGTATGTCTTATATGATATGATGAATTGGAAATGGGGGACCCTGATGTAAACAAGACGAAAGTCTTTCTCTGGTCTGCATCCCCTTAACAATTGTATGTTTTGAGCTGTACTGTACTGTACCCAATATACAAGCTGTTCATAAACTTTTCAATCAATCAATCAATCAAACACACGCACACACACCTCTTAAAACTCATATGTGCCAACAGCACCCTCTAGTGGACATCTGCAGTGTAACACATCAACATTCTTCAAATAGTTCTGTCTGTGCATTTAAAATAAAAAGCCTCTCACCTGGTATCCTTGAAGGAAGGGATCCAGCATGTTGGTGAGGAAGGACAGAGTTCTGTGTCCGCTTTCTGTGACCAGAACCTCATGTTGGGTCACCTGCAGAACTCCAGTCTTCACGAGCAGGAAACAGGCCTCCTCAAAGTCCTGCAGGACACACAGCAGGAGACACGTATTAAAACATACAATCTAAAATACCTCTTAATATGTTCTTTTTCTTTTCCTCCCCCTTAATATGTTTTTATAAAATTACATTAAATGTATTAGTATAATGATTGTTTGGGCTGTTTTTTATATATACACACTTCTACTTACACACAAATAAGGAAAATGCTTTTAACAATTAAAGGGTATAAAATAAGGCATGTTTATTTTCCTTTCCTACAAAAATAGGACAAAACATTTAAAGTAAACCAACACAACAATTCATTCCCTAAATTTGACCAATGTTATTAACAATTATATTTGAGGCACAATCATGCCCGGCGCCGTGGGAGGGCCAGGGAGGGCCAGGGATGGCCAGGGAGGGCCAGGCCCTCCCATTTGACATTCCTGCCCTCCCCCAATAAACACGTTTTTTATTATTTATAAAAATTAAAAAATATTTTTATTTTATTTTTTTAATTATAAATAAACTGTGAACTTTTATGCTACGATGTATGTGATGTCAGAACAAAAACAAAAAATCGCAGGCTACGTCAAATAAATGCATGTGTGTGTTGTGATTTGTGATTCGTCCACATTTAGACCAATCACAGCGTCACACTCTGCCGCCTATTCTGGATTTGTTTATTGTTTATTGTGCATTCTGTAGACTCCCATTTCTGTTTGAATTACAAAATGGACATCAGAAATTGGCTCAAAAGGTCTAAGGATTTATTAAAACGAAATAGCGATGAAAGAACTGCAGCCGATGGAGCTGCTGGCGACCCTGCACCTGCCGTTGCAGCAGTACGCCTTAATGTCACAAGCTTGACCTCGGCAAACCCCGGGGCTGAGTTAGCGATGATCTTGGGGTTAATAAACCCAAGCAGGTGAAGCTGGATCGTTATCCAGGGAGATTGTTTTCAGGAAAGAAGCGCACTTTTGCCGCTGCATGGTACACAACAGACCATGGCTTGAAGATTTGTTAAAAGCAGACGCAGCCTTTTGTTTCCCCTGTAGACAGTTTCAAGTCAATACCTCTTCATCTGATGCGGCTTTTACTGTCAAAGGTTTTTGCGACTGGAAACACGCATTACAGACTGATGAAGGACTGCTAAGGCATGCCGCATCAAAAGAACACATTTCATATGAGAGAGAGAGAGAGAGAGAGAGAGAGAGAGAGAGAGAGAGAGAGAGAGAGAGAGAGAGAGAGAGAGAGAGAGAGAGAGACGTGAGGAAACAAATAAGGAAATACTTTGGTGCAGATCAGCTGCACGGAGCCGTTATTAATTCACTCCACAGCATGTCCGAGTGCAGTGCATCGGAACATAAACCATGCCCAAGGCGGGCTAAACAGTTCAACGTCTCCGTCTCTACTATTTCTCTCCGAGTGCAGCGATGAGGAAGCTGCCATCCGTAACCAGTGTGCCTTGCTCGTGGTTTACCAGTGTTTGTGCTGCCACGCACACAATGTTTCAAAGTGGTTTCTATGTTGCCCTTTATTTGTGTATGTATTTGCGATAAGTGTGCGTCTTTACGCAATGCTGTTGGCCTTGCTGTTTGATATATATTATGCCGCAGGCCCGCAGCACGTGACGGTTTTGTGTGCCCTCCCATGAAAATCATATGCCCTCTCTTTAGATTTGTTCTGGCGCCGGGTCTGGGCACAATGCTAAATAAACGTTGTTCCGCACCTGCACTGTAGCTCCAGGACAGAGGATGAACTCATTGGAGAAAATGTTTCTGAGGAAGCTGAAACTGTTGAAGACTTCATCTGCAAAAAACACAAAATAATTAACATTCAGTCTGGAGAGAAACAGCTTTACTGCACATAGTCCTGTCTGTTTCTCACAATGTAGGCAAACTGACCCCATCTACTGTAAGTAAGATACCAACAATGAAGACAAACGTCTTGAAACAACATTACAAAACATCCAAAAGGTACAAAAACCAAGCATACTTCTTTGGAATTTACTGTGCCTAAATCTCTTCAGGTAAAAGGAGCCTTTCCACTTTTTAAATATAACAGTAAACAATTCTTTGTGTGTTTTTCTCTCATTTACTTTTAATTATCAGTTTACATTCAAATAGGATGAGAAATGAAACTGTCTTGTTATCTGAACATGGACTTGTAGGAATTTGTTATTTGTTTTACTTTATTCTTTTATTTTCACCCTGGAAATGTATGTATGTATGTATGTATGTATGTATGTATGTATGTATGTATGTATGTATGTATGTATGCATGCATGTATGTATGCATGTATGTATGATGTATGTATGTATATGTGTATGTATGTATGTATGTATATGTGTATGTATGTATGTACAGTATGTATGTATGATGTATGTATGTATATGTGTGTATGTATGTATGTATGTATGTATGTATGTATGTATGTATGTATGTATGTACAGTATGTATGTATGATGTATGTATGTATATGTGTGTGTATGTATGTATGTATGTATGATGTATGTATGTATATGTGTATGTATGTATGTATGTATGTATGTACAGTATGTATGTATGATGTATGTATGTATATGTGTATGTATGTATGTATGTATGTATGTATGTATGTATGCATGCATGTATGTATGCATGTATGTATGTATGATGTATGTATGTATATGTGTATGTATGTATGTATGTATGTATATGTGTATGTATGTATGTACAGTATGTATGAATGTATATGTGTGTGTATGTATGTATGTATGTATGTATGTATGTATGTATGTACAGTATGTATGTATGATGTATGTATGTATATGTGTGTGTATGTATGTATGTATGTATGCATGTATGTATGTATGATGTATGTATGTATATGTGTGTGTATGTATGTATGTATGTATGCATGTATGTATGTATGATGTATGTATGTATATGTGTATGTATGTATGTATGTATGTATGTATGTATGTATGTATGTATGTGTGTATATGTGTATGTATGTATGTATGTATGATGTATGTATGTATATGTGTACATATGTATGTGTTATATAATTTTGTTTATCTTGAATTATTTGTTTTACTCTATCCTGCAACTGGATGACAAACGGGGTTACCTCTGAATAAGCTATGCTTCTGCCCTCCTGCTTCTACACATGTTGTTTGTTTTTTGGATGTATAAACTGTCTAATTGTTGAAATAGTAGAATAAATAATTAAAACAATTATAATAATAATCCGATCATGTTTGAAAAGGCAGAAAGCCGCTCATTTAGAGAAGGTAAACTGTGTGTGAGCCTCACGCTTCTGGGTGGAGGCGGCGGTGTGGAGGGCTGAGGCCAGCAGGGCGGGGCGCAGGAAGACGTGCAGCGCCTGGTTCCTGTAGGAGGCGCAGGAGAGGAGCACCACTGCCTGGTTCAGGAGCTCGTCTTCTGGGGTAACAGGGCTGAGAGCCTCCCCTGGACTCGATGGTCCTGCTGCTGCAAGAGAAAGACATTTTTCCTTTCAACACTTCTTCTTATTAAGCTGTGGCGGCTACATTTCCAGTTCAGTTTGAGTCGGCGAGAGGCTAAGCTTGGCTATAAACTGTGACGCGTTTCCAAAATCCATACTGAAGCAAGATAGTTTTACGATATTTAATAAACAAAACGGTCAACAGAAAAAATGACAGCACAAGCTCACCCTCTGTCATCCACACTCGACATGAAACAGGTGACCTATATACACAAACCACACCAATGTGACAATTACCGGAAGTGCTCAACAAACAAATAAAAGTGACGTAAAGAAATAATAATAATACAAATATTGAACTCGGGCTAAGTAGCGTTATGGCACCTACATAACACAGACGATAACACCCTTTGTTGTTAAATACCAACTATGTGCAATATATATATATATATGCCGTTAATAACCGTGCAATATACACCTGGCTGCTAAATCCTCAGAACTGTTACAGGATGTGTATTTTGTAAATTGTGTAATTTTTATTATAATCTATTTAATTTTTTATATTTGTTTAAGCGCTTTAGGTAACGTTAAGCTGCCTTTGGCTCTTTTCTGCTGTAACAATGTACATGTCCCCTCTGTGGGACTAATAAAGCTATTCTGATTCTGATTGATATGTTTACTTTTACAACTGTGCAATAGTGTGTTATCAATGTTTAAACTTGTCCAAAACACACCTTGTTCCACAGCCAGGTGCACTCTGCCCTCAGAGAGCCTCACCAGACCTCCATGCAGAGAGAGACTGGAGGAAACCACCTCTGATGGAGGGATGTGGTCTGAAGGAGAGAAAGAGAAATCAGAAGATCATATTTCCATTGTTAGGGCATGGGGTTCACAGGTCATGAATGAGTGCACACAAACATGCTTATCTACACTGTATCTATGTACACATGACAATAAAAGCCTTGAAACAGCTACCAAATAAATAGCTTCAATTGACTTTGACAAACGTGTTTAACTAATCTAATTGCGAATTTTAATTGATCATATCAGTGAAGTAGCTCAACCTGAGACTTAAAAAAAACGTTTCTTTCTTCCCTTGTAACAAATTATACCAAGTTGTTCTGGCTTTGAATTGTTTGAATAAACTGTTTTATTGTACTACTCATATGCATAACAATAAAGCAACTTGGCTTACTATTCTAGGCAGGAAGAAATGGGAAAATATGTGAATTATACCTGTTGGAGCTATATATATCACTTTATATTATTTAATAGTTTAACATGTATTTTCCTGCTGTTTATAGTAAATGTATTTCTAGTTATTGTCGTTATTGTAGTAAGTTCAAGTATTTTGAAGGCATGTTTGGGCACTGGGTGATTAGAGCAGCTGGTCTAACGGCCCCTACACACGGCGGCGTGCGTTGCCGCTTCAACGCTTCGGCCCATTCAACGCTTCTGCCCATTCACTTTGAATGGGGGAACGTCACGCCTCGCCGAACTGCATTGTGGGAGCAAAGCGTAGCATTTCTCGCGGTGCTCGCTGCAAAAGTAGAGCAATGTTCTACTTTTGACGCTTCGACGGAAGCATCAGCCAATCGAATCATATGCCAGTACAAGCTCTAGCCAATCAAACCGCGTGCTTGTGTGTCTGGGGCGGGAGATTCATGTGATTGGTTGTTGGTCGAGTTTCAGCCCCCCCCCGCCGGCAAGCGACAACGCATGCCGCCGTGTGTAGAGGCCGTAATTGTATATATTGGAGACAGGTGGAGGAGGGAGTAGAGCTCCAGTAGGCACATGGTTTTTTACCAGAGTGATGCAAGCCACAAGAGAGGAAAGCCATATAAAGCCTTAAGGAACAAAACATAGGAGACCTGTTCATTTAGTGGGAATGCTGTTAAAGATCAAATGCAAAGATTTTTTTATAATTGCCAGTAAAATCGAAATCATATAGCTACAACACTATCTAAGATATTGCGGTATTAAAATCGGAGATAATATGCATCTGGCAATGCGCAATATTTAAACAACCCCCAACACCAAGTCCGACGATTTATTTCTCAGCCGCTCGTCTCCGCAAGATGGCGTCGTGTGACGTCAGAGTGGCCAAACATATTTCCACCTGGCTTATCGCTCACAGCTGCTTCCGCCGATAGTACAACTTAGTTTCGTTATCATGTCTGATTCTGAGTAGACTATAGACTAAAAGCTTTAGGAATCCAAACTATAACATATAATAAGTACCCTGTATCAAGATTGATGCAAAACAAGTGAAATTTGACCTTAGAAAATAAAGTCCAGGCGACCTCTGGGTAATTTGGGAACCATCAGTTCCATTTGAACTTTTTCACTGTAAAAATCATTTTATTACTTTGAATTATCACTATAGGTATTCATTCCATCCAAATACAACTGTTGTGAAAAAAAAATAAAACATACTCTGTTATCATCTTAGCCCCACAGACCCGAAATCGCGTCATTTGCAGGAAACGACGTCTAAGGAACCTTAATTTTTAATAAACTATGAATATTTTATATCCATATAACGGGAAAAAACTCATTTAACTGATCTTTTTCATTTATTTAAAAAAAAAAAAAACACAATGCTAACAGTGAGCCTCTGAATTAGCCCCGAGCGAAAAATGCTAACCTATTACTGCACCAAAAATCACTCCTAGCTCCCTTATTACTTATCCTAGCTCCACATCCAACACATTGTTTATGATCGTAAAGACACAGAATCTAACGGTGCCCACCTCAACACTGAAAGATACAAACTCGCAAGGTTATCAACAAAAACGTACATCAAAACAAGTGGCGCTAGGTACTAACATGAGCTAGGCTTACCTTCTTCTTTGTCTGGTCTAAAATGGCATTAAAACGATAAAAACGATGATGTAGTTAATCCATAGGTTAATATCCAATGGGGCTGTGTCCCCTTTGAAATGTTCTGATAATCTATAAGCAATAAAACTGCAATTCCGTTATCTGCTGTCCGCTCTGTGCTCCGTGCGCTTTGAAATCAAATCAAAATGTGTTTACCTCAATTCTTTGGCGTATCTGCATCGCCCGGCTCTTTCGTTCTTTCGGTTGTTTTTTGTGCTCAAATATGGAGGGGACGGCTCCGGGTTTCAGCCTCCGATGTACTTTAAATGCTTCTCCACCAACAGACTTGACGATGGCAGGATCAACATCGTATGCATCAGACGCGAAGTGGTCAGAGCACAACTTGCTCCATTTTGTCGGCTGCCAGCCAACACGATTCACTAAAAATAATCCAGTTTCGGCGGATGATTTTGTCTTGGGGAAATGAATGAAAAATTCTCCCAGATCCCGCACCGTTCGTACATCCGAAAGCACAACAATAACCCATGTTTTGCGTGATTTCGCGGATATAATTCAGAGTTTTCTGCACCAGTCATGAGCGAAAAACACCGCTGACATGTGAACAGCGCACGAGACTGCCGAGTCGGGATATTTGGCCCAGAGACTGTTTGGCCACAATGACGTCACGCGCGCGGAGGCTGCTGGGAATGACATGTCAGAAATTCAGACGGCTTTGGGTCGAGCTTTGTATCAATAAAAAGCTTTTTTTCAGGTGTATTATCTCGATTTAAATTAAATAAAAAATACAGGCAGTCTTAAAAACAACATTTCTATAAAAATGTAGCATATTTGGAAGCTTTGCATTTGACCTTTAACAGCATTCCCACTAACTGTTCTTCTACGGACGAAAAGTTTATTATTATTCCGCCGACTTATTTTGGCCCTCTTCTCCTCCCGCATTGAACATCGCAGAAAACTCCGTTCAAACATCAAAACGTTCAGCTCGGTCGGGAATCGATGGCTATTACTTTTCTCATTCATAACTTTCATAATTCCAGAGATACATCCCATAATACATCACATTTTTAACATTGAAGTAAATGGAGGAAATCTTCAGACTTCAACAAATCTTCATGCGACTTCAACTGCTAACTGTTCATTCATACTTTCACTCAGAAACCTCATTCCAACTTTAAAATGTTAAAAATCTTTCTGACATTATTCGTGTAAAACAACTTTTAAATCTGATTCTTACTTTTAGAGATATTAACATTTGTTCAGACCTTGTTTTAGAGGTTTTCTTCACATTTTAACATTAACTAGAGTGCGTGATGTCACAGCTAGAGGGTGAGAAATCTTGAAATTTGCCTTCATATATTTTTTTTAAACTGCCATAATTCCCAAACCCTACATTCCTGGGACATAATTTTTCATGATAAACGTAGGAAAACATCTCGTAGCTTGAAAAATGACAAATAATTAAGCAAAATCATTCAACAAAATGCCTCTTGAGGGCATGAAGTGACAAAAACGTTCAACATTCCTCCATTGAAGCCCGTTGTAATTTCAGGCAGATATTTCCTCACGGTAGCAGCCGCACACCTTTAGTTAAACTGCCAAAAAGGCCACATTATTAACCCGAAAGTACACAAAAATTACACTTCAGATACTCAACTTCCTTGACATGCTTCACATTTTGAAATTTCACAGATATCTGTTACGGTTCTTCCACAAAACGTTCACATGTAAGAGGTTCATCTCTCATTCAGAACAATGGAAACCTGTGATCTCTACAGAGCTCGTTAGTTCAAATATAAACAGCTGTGTAATGGAACACGATGATGTCATCACTCCAACTGCCATGCTCAGACTTCAACAGTCCAGCTGTGAAGACGATTCGGGACAGTTTTGAGATTTCTCCAAATGCCGTTGTCATGGCAACACAATGCTCGCCTTGAAACACGGTTTTCTCATAGCTTCAGTGAAAATACTCCAAACAGCCCAGAACTTCACAGGTTTGATAACGATGCAGCCATCAATGCATCCAAGCGTAGTATGGGGTGTCATGAAATGCCGTTGCCATGGCGACAGACCACTCGCCATGAAACACGATGAGGCTGTAAGTCCAATGGACACGGTCCAATCGTCCCCCAATCTTCACTTGTATATCACCGGTCCATGCCTCAACAGCTCTACGCCAAATCTGAGATCTCACCATATGCCGTTTCCATGGAAACGCATCCCTCGCCATAAAACATGATGTCGCTATAACTCCTGTGTAAATGTTCAAAAAGTGCTCAAACTTCACAAGTGTGCTAACAGTCCAGCCGTGAAGACATCTACGGGACAGTTTTGCGATTTCTTCAAATGCCGTTGCCATGGCAACACAATGCTCGCCATGAAACACGGCTTTCTCATAACTTCAGTGAAAATACTCCAAACGCCCCAAAACTTCACAGGTTTGGTAACGATGCAGCCATCAACGCATCTAAGCGTATTATGGGGTGTCATCTAATGCCGTTGCCATGGTGACAGATCATTCGCCATCAAGTTAGTTCAGAAATTTGCAGTTCAAATATTCTGCTGCTTTTCTAAGCCTTTTTACTTTCTTTTCTTCTCTCATCACACATTCAAGCCCCCAGTGTTCATGTATCATTTCAATCTAAATTCTTCACTTTCTTCTTACACATTACATTTCAATCTAAATTCTTCACTTTCTTCTTACACATTACATTTCAGCATAGCAGTTTAACGTCAGCTTTTCAGCATAAAGCATTCCCACTAGCAATTTCTTCAGGAATTGCATTCTCTAGTTGTTAATAATATTGGATCATAATAAAAAGCGCAAACGGAGATTATTGTCAGGACTTTGGATCATTGCCCTGCGTAAGATCCGCTAACTGGTTCCTCAGTGTTATTTTAAGTTAATTATCTGTTTCAATTCTTTATGATTTTGGCCGCTACAATATCAAACAGTTAACAGAAACGTGCACTATTTTAACTATTTGGTCTGGTTCTGTACCGGGCCAGTGGAGGAAGGCTCCGTACTGCCGGGAAACGTCTCGCAGCCAGAGGGCCTGTTCAGTCAGCTGGTCCACTGCCATCCCCTGGTCCTGGTTCTGGTCCTGGTGGTTCTGGTTCTGGTGGTGGTTCTGCAGCAGTAAAGAGGCCAGCAGCACCCAGGGCTTCAGCACCATGTTCTCCTCCTGGAGCCGCACCAGCTTGTAGGCCGAGTCGCTCACGAAGCTCTGGACGTCCTCGCCCGGCCTCGTGGGGATGTGTCTGCAGACGATGGACATCGAAAAGTTACCACCTCTTCAAAAGCCACACATATGGGACTGTGTTCACAGTAAAAGTGCATTAAAGGTCCCCTATTATACTGTTTTTCATCAATATATTACAGGTCTCAGATATATACAAAACCTGTCTCTGAAGTGTTTGGCTCCAAACACCAAACAGATCATTGCAGCATTACCCATAATCCCCTCTGTTTCAGCCCTGTTTCCAAAGTGCTGATTCTCTGTCTGTTACTTTAGATGAAAATAAGGAGCCCCTCCCCACGCCCCTCTGAGAGATATTTGGTTACAAAGAACACAATGGAGCTCTAGGAGGAGATTCAGGTGATAAGAGGGGGGGGGTTCCCTTGGTTTGTGATTGGCTAATGGTTACACAAGCCAAAACATCGTTATGACATCATAAAGTGGCCAAAATCTGATCAGCTCATTTTCAGACAGGTTTTTATAGAAATGGATCAAAAAGAGAGAATCTTTTTTCCTGAAACTTTCAGAGTCTCTTTACACAGAGGGGACACATGTTGATGTAGAAGAGACATGAAGAAGAGGGGACACATGTTGATGTAGAAGAGACGTGAAGAAGAGGGGGACCACATGTAAGACAGTAGGGGTACACATGTTTGATGTAGAAGAGACATGAAGAAGAGGGGACACATGTTGATGTAGAAGAGACATGAAGAAGAGGGGACACATGTTGATGTAGAAGAGACATGAAGAAGAGGGGACACATGTTGATGTATAGAAGAGACATGGAGAAGAGGGGACACATGTTGATGTAGAAGAGACCATGAAGAAGAGGGGACCACATGTTGATGTAGAAGAGACATGAAGAAGAGGGGACACATGTTGATGTAGAAGAGACTGAAGAAGAGGGGACACATGTTGATGTAGAAGAGACGTGAAGAAGAGGGGACACATGTTGATGTAGAAGAGACATGAAGAAGAGGGGACACATGTTGATGTAGAAGAGACATGAAGAAGAGGGGACACATGTTGATGTAGAAGAGACATGAAGAAGAGGGGACACATGTTGATGTAGAAGAGACATGAAGAAGAGGGGACACATGTTGATGTAGAAGAGACATGGAGAAGAGGGGGACACATGTTGATGTAGAAGAGACATGAAGAAGAGGGGACACATGTTGATGTAGAAGAGACATGAAGAAGAGGGGACACATGTTGATGTAGAAGAGACATGAAGAAGAGGGGACACATGTTGATGTAGAAGAGACGTGAAGAAGAGGGGACACATGTTGATGTAGAAGAGACATGAAGAAGAGGGGACACATGTTGATGTAGAAGAGACGTGAAGAAGAGGAGACACATGTTGATGTAGAAGAGACATGAAGAAGAGGGGACACGTGTTGATGTAGAAGAGACATGAAGAAGAGGGGACACATGTTGATGTAGAAGAGACGTGAAGAAGAGGGGACACATGTTGATGTAGAAGAGACATGAAGAAGAGGGGACACATGTTGATGTAGAAGAGACATGAAGAAGAGGGGACACATGTTGATGTAGAAGAGACATGAAGAAGAGGGGACACATGTTGATGTAGAAGAGACATGAAGAAGAGGGGACACATGTTGATGTAGAAGAGACATGAAGAAGAGGGGACACATGTTGATGTAGAAGAGACATGAAGAAGAGGGGACACATGTTGATGTAGAAGAGACGTGAAGAAGAGAGGACACATGTTGATGTAGAAGAGACATGAAGAAGAGGGGACACATGTTGATGTAGAAGAGACGTAGAGAAGTGGATTCTGCACAATAGGTGACCTTTAAATCAAGGAGGAAACCTGTGTTAACTTCACTGAGGAAAACTATAACTGAGTATGTTCGTCAACAGCATCTTTTCCCCCCCCCAAGAATAAGGACGAAACAGCATTGACGTCATTAAACACTCACTGAAATATTGATGATAAACAAAGATAAGACAAAATGTCCAACTAAGGGAACAAAATCTCTCATTATTTCATTGACAAAAAAGATCAGACAAAATATGACCATCTTTTCTGTCTCTAAAGCTGCACATTCCTTCTTATTTAGTTTCCAGCTAACAATGACAACAACTGGGCTTGGGAGAAAGATAAGAGGTGATATTGTGGCTGGACTAGATTGAAACATTACACGGACATTTTGCAGACAAAATAAAGAAATAGCTAACAAAATCAACACTCAAAGATCTTACTAATATATTTCTGATAGTAAACACATTGTTTAGATGTCCGTTTTCAAGAAAGGAAGACACATGCGGGCAGGCCCGGTTCCAGAACAAAATGACTCAGGGTGCATCTGAGATTAGAGAGGGTGCAGGGGTAAAGTGCTATTTTTATAAGTGGGGAGTGGACCTAACACCCTGTAGGGGGATCTTCACCTCCTCTAGGGAGGTCCTCACCTCCTCTAGGGGGGTCCGGGGACATGCTCCCCCGGGAAGATTTTTTTAAATATTGAAGTTAAAAGCATCAATCTGGTGCACTTTGAGAGCAACATTAAGAGATATATGGATCAATGTGCTCTTTGCTTCATGCATGCCTTCCCAGTCCCTTATCACGTAGCCTATAAGAGCATGGCGCCAGTTGTTGTAGCCAGTTGTGGTGAAGGCATCTGACTTACTTGAACCGAAATGTCTGCATGCATAGCAGAAGATGGCATATTTTTTACATGAATATTCCAGCCAATCTCTGTTTTGAAACCATGAGCTGCAAAATGAGCGCCCCACTGTACAGGCGAGTTGGGTACTTTTTTAAATATACCTGGGCAGGCTCTGTTTTGCAGAGGTCCTCTGGCACTTGCGGGCCGCCGAGGGGTGGCGGTGTTTGGGGCAACGAAGACGGCTGCGGCTGCTCCGCCTCCGTGGGCGAGGCGGGCAAAGCTGGCGAGTCGGGCGTTATTGTACACGACAGTTGCCGCGGGAAACGTAATGTCCCCATGATCTGAACTGTTATTACCTGCAGTAGATGCAGTGTTACTGCTGGCGATAAGGGCTGGTTGTTTTAACCATTTTCTGATGTCCATCATTGACTGCTGTGTAAGCACCTTGCAGATGACGAACGCGCAGCGGCACTGTTCACGCACACCTGACATAATAACATTACTTACCGTTTCAATTGACCAAATAAATGCAGCAGACAATGTTATTTAACCACAATTACAATTTATTTTGTTTCAACTAAATTCTTCTTCTTATTATTACTATTATATATGTAAACATTTTCACTTTTTTTTTTTTTACTTTTCATTTTTCAAATGAGGGTGCTTAACGACTCAACTGAGGGTGCAATGCACCCTTATGCACCCCCGTAGAACCGGGCCTGCATGCGGGGACAATGCAATCATTTCTAACACATAACTCACATCTAATCTGAATGCAGCTCCAAAATACTTTCATTTAGCTGGAGCCTTCTGGCGTCATATGCCAAAGAAGATAACAGTGCACTGACTTAACTATCAGTGCTGCTACACTGAAGGGCAAATCCACACAGAATGGATTTTCAGCCGCTATCTGCCCTGTCTCAAGGTCACGTTGGTCATATTTCGCTAAAGATATTACAGCACAAACTTGCTCGAACTGTTTTTGCACTTAGTTTCAATTGGATGGAAAGGATCTATGTTGTGCCAAAAGCATGCATATCACCTCATTTAAATGCATGCTATTATCAGAGTAGCATAATTTCACCCCATTACAGGTGCTTTGTCTTATTTGTACAGGTGTAGCGGTCGCAAAAGCTGCACAATCCTTTTGTGGATTTGACCCCAGATGGTCTAGTAACAGCTACGTACTGCATTGACAAGACAGACATGAGGTACCCATCTAAGTGTTCTGTTAGAATAAGTAATGTTGATGTATCGTACCGTGGCAGCAGGTTGAACTGGCGGCGGTTAACTCTGCCCTCGGCTAAACTTCTGACGGACACAGGTTGACCGAAGTACACATGGATACTGCCGTAGTCTTCACTGAGGACCTTTCTGGCTTTGAACAGACCCTACACAAGGAGACATGAACAGCAGAGGCATGTGTACAGGCTGCGAAATGTGACTTTATACTGGTTTAGCAGAACCAGGTGTTTTTCTTTTTTGTATTTTTCGTTCATAAAAAGGTCAGATGTGTAGGTGACTCACTGAAGTGGACTCTTTGGGTTTGGGAATACCCAGCAGCTCTCTGGCGTAAAGCGTCTCCTCGAGGATCCTCTCGTAGCTGATGCTGACCGGCACCACGTGGACATCATAAACCTCCCCCTTCAGGAACGGATCCATGGCGATGTTCAACAGACCTGGAGGACAGAGGGTGAGGGGGACAGCGAGAGAAAAGACAAGTCAGCAATATTTACAGAATCATGTCAAAATGTGTTTAAAATGTTCTTTGGTATTTTTTCTTAGGATGCCTGTTAATAATAATAATAATTTGGGATTCACTAAGGTGATGTTGTATGAGCTACAAATACCTTTAATTAGATCACTTAAAGGTGGGGTATGTAATTTTGGAGAAACCAGCTCGAGTGCGCTAGAATTTGAAAATACACAGCCGTAAAATATCTGCCACTTCCTCACAGAGCCCCTCCTCCAACACACACGAACGCGCACATGACCAATGAGGGCACGAGATAAGTTTGTGCACAGATGGCAGGCTGACAGGCAGGTAGGCCATCCAGTTACTTTAGCCGGGCCGGCTCAGATGATTGGTCGTGCTTTTTACAGCGCTACGACTTCCACTGATGACATTTTTTAATGGATTTATTGTCAAAGCACTTCAGATATTCCATGGAAAATATAAGAAAAAGTGTATCTTGAGCCGGTTTCTCAAACTTACCTTTAAGATGGAAGGAAAATATTATAAAAACCGTTTCCAGTCAACAAACGGTGGTAATTGTTTGTTTTGTTGATGTCGTCTGTTTCCTTTATGTGTAAAGCTTTTGGTTCAAGATTCCTGCCCATTTGTTGAAGTTGTTGTTTGCTCTTTTATGTGAAACTATTGTGGCTGATGTTTTGGCCAGGACTCCCTTGTAAAAGCGATTATGATTCTCAATGGGAAATACTCAAAAGGTTTAAATAAAGCTTGGAGTCTAGTGTCTCACCTAACTTTGGAGTCAAAGACTTGGCCGTCCTGCTCCTGGTCCCCTCTAGGAAGAATTCAACTGGTGCATATCCTATCTGAAAAACAGATGTAAGAAAACTGAAATAATCTCCTCCGATGTAGCACACATACATTAAATATAAACTATATTATTATTACAACAGTTGTACCACCACTCTCACATTTAGCGCTGTGAGCCAATAGGGACTTAAATGTCTCCAAAGTATCACCACTCCTCAATCTTAGGACCAATAAAGACGTTATGATTTTAGGATACACAGCCTCCTGACCTTGAGCATGGTCCTGACGTACTCTGAGAACACGGTCCAGTACAGCTGGTCTCCTCCAAACGACCTCCGGATGAAGAACGCTCCAGACATCCGCAGCATCTCTCCAATGACCTTCATCCCCATGAAGTCTGCAGGAACAAGTGGTTTATATTCAGACGTCATGATCGTGTATTGGACTGCACTATAGAGAGGAGTCTGCCCTGTACAACATGTATATGCACAATGTATAACAGACTTACATGTAAGAAGACACATGCACTGGCTTCAACTTATATTTAAATGCATTTACTTTAACTATCCCCCTTATTTAAAGCAGTATTTTCTTTCTTACTCATCAAATTATCAAGTTAGACATTTATTTCTCTGTCCCCTCTGCGGAAAAATGTATTGGCAGAAGAGCGTTGATGTTTAAAGCCCCAACTGGAATACTTTACCTGCTGCTATAGATCCCTGTCATCATTGGGTATGTTTAACCCTCCTGTTGTCTTCGGGTGAAATCTGACCAATTTACTACTTTCATCAATCATAACTTTTTTGTTTTACATTCGATTGCATTAAGGCTTCATGATATCCTTCACAGTAGACATTTGAACATATGATAATGCTGATCACCACTTTCATTGAATTTTGGAGGATTTAGTCAACTTTGTAAAACCCATGGTGTTCCCGGTCAAACATGACCGCCATAAAGAAAAGGAATTAGTAACCATCCGGATCAGATAAAACACACACACACACACACTCTCTAGATGTGTTCCCCCCTTATGTGCCCAATCCCCCCATGTGAATCACACCTGGCACACACACACACACACACAGAACAATTTGACACATTTCCCGCTCTTATGTGCCCATCCCCCCACATAGATCACACCTGGCACACGCAATACATGTTCAGTGTCTATTCTTTGTATATTTACTGCAGTTCTTCATGTATACCAGTAGTCTGATACAATATGTACAGTTTGAAAGGGTGTTAAATGAAATTTGGTGATTAATGGTTTTTGTGTTAATGTAATAGCAGTTAAAACAGGACCGGTCAAATTTGACCACGAACACCAAAGTAATGGGGGGGAAACGAAGACAATAGGAGGGTTAAGCTTGCAGCTGCTCTGCTCTTGTTATTGATGAAACTGATCGATTAGACACTACTGTGTATCAAATTGTAATGATTGTATGGATTACTTCATGAATTTTACTTAACAAACTGTACGTATGTATGTCTGTAAGACGTTGCTTTTGTCGGGACCCCCTTGAAAACGAGATGGTGCATCTAAAGAGGTTTATCCTAATAAATACATTTCTAATCTATATATATATTAAAGTCTGTTAACTCAGCGTATACAGTCTGGCTCTCTTCCATGCTCACCCATGCCGGCAGCGATGACGGGCAGCGACAGCTCGTAGGTGAACAGGATGTAGGACATCAGCAGGAAGTCCATGTAACTACGGTGACTCGGTAACAGGACCACCGGGTGCTCCTTAATAGCCTGTTGGAGCTAACAACGAGGAAAATAACAGATTAGGTGTGTATTTGTATGCGTTTCAGCTTAAAGGTCACCTATTATGCAAAATCCACTTGTCTCTTCTACATCAACATGTGTCCCCTCTTCTTCATGTCTCTTCTACATCAACATGTGTCCCCTCTTCTCCATGTCTCTTCTACATCAACATGTGTCCCCTTTTCTTCATGTCTCTTCTACATCAACATGTGTCCCCTCTTCTTCATGTCTCTTCTACATCAACATGTGTCCCCTCTTCTTCATGTCTCTTCTACATCAACATGTGTCCCCTCTTCTCCATGTCTCTTCTACATCAACATTTGTCCCCTCTTCTTCTTGTCTCTTCTACATCAACATGTGTCCCCTCTTCTTCATGTCTCTTCTACATCAACATGTGTCCCCTCTTCTTCATGTCTCTTCTACATCAACATGTGTCCCCTCTTCTTCATGTCTCTTCTACATCAACATGTGTCCCCTCTTCTTCATGTCTCTTCTACATCAACATGTGTCCCCTCTTCTTCATGTCTCTTCTACATCAACATGTGTCCCCTCTTCTTCATGTCTCTTCTACATCAACATGTGTCCCCTCTTCTCCATGTCTCTTCTACATCAACATGTGTCCCACACTGAAAGTTTCAGGAACAAAGATTCTCTCTCTTTTTGTCCTGATCCATTTCTATAAAAACCTGTCTGAAAATGAGCTGATCAGATTTTGGCCACTTTATGATGTCATAACGATGTTTTGGCTTGTGTAACCATTAGCCAATCAGCAACCAAGGTAACCCCCCCCCCCCCTTATCACCTGAATCTCCTCCTAGAGCACCATTGAGTTCTTTTTAACCAAATATCTCTCAGAGGGGCGTGGGGAGGGGCTCCTTATTTTCATCTAAAAATAAAGACAGAGAATCAGCACTATGGAAACAGGGCTGAAACAGAGGGGATTATGGGTAATGCTGCAATGATCTGTTTGGTGTTTGGAGCCAAACACTTCAGAGACATGTTCTGCATATATCTGAGACCTATGATATATTGATGAAAACAGTATAATAGGAGACCTTTAACAGTGTTTTCAGCTTCCATCAGGTGTGTGTTCTCACCCTCTGGATGCCCTCTTCGTTGACACAGATGCTCTTGAACAAGGTTTTAAAGACTTTGCAGAGCGAGAAGGCAAAGAAGCGAACGGTGTTGAGCTGCAGAGAGTGAGCCATCTCCTCCAAGATGGCCGACGCCTCCTCCTGGACGTCAGCAGTTGCTTTGCCCGTCTCTTTGGAAATCTTGACGAATAAAATAAAATGTTAAACACGTGCAAAACATTAACACTACTCACTCAAATAAGTTGAATCTGGTAAACATATTTGACATCTGAACACAAACAAAACACAATTTCATACTTTTTACAACTGTGTCGTTTTTTAAGTTATGTATTGTTTCATTAAAGGGGACCTATCTTGCAAAATGCACTTTTGTACGTCTTTTATACATGAATATGTGTCCCCGGTGTGTCAGAGAACTCACAAAGTGTCAGAAAACACAACCCTCTCTCTTTTCCTCCATACCCAAATCTCTAAAATCGGTGCTGCAACGGATCTGATACAGACTGATCCAGATTTGAAATTGTTCTGACGTCAGCAAAGGGGTGCTCCGCCTATATGGCCAACTCTCCACCTATCAGGGGAATGAGAGGTTGGGCCACGGCCATTGCCGCTCGAAAGCGCTGGAGACGCTGTAGTACATATGCCAGGCCTGTAAGTGGCGCTGTAGTCTGCCACAAAAGCAGCGAAGAAGACTTCCCGCGCATGGTTGCCATGGTTGCCCTTCTGTTTATTCTCCACTGTGGCTCTTTTTCTCCCTCCCCGAGGCAAGCGTTTGCTCCTGCTGCTGTTATTCATTGCAATCCCTCCCCGTCGAGGCAAGCACTGTAATTTTCTCCGGTAGTCCACCAGCAGATGACAAACACCCACCTCTCTGCCTCTTCCAAGGGACGAGGGGACCGTGCGGCAGAGTTTCAGTTAGATTTGTTTTCGCCGGTCAACATGTCCGTTAAAGTTTAAATCTTCCGGACAAAATTAGAAAAGTGCCGGTCAAAGGTCTTCTTTGTTATTTATTGAGCTTTAAAACAAATGAATAACGACTCTATATAATCATATAAGAATAAAACACGGAGGACGGAGATCTCTTTTCCTCCCCCTCTTCTGACAGCCCAGCAGCTGATCTCAAAGCACGCTCCCCTCTCCTGCAGGGGGGCGTGGTCAGCTGCAGCTCATTTGCATTAAAGCTACGTCACAGAATCAGCCCCTGCAAAAACAGGGCAGGAAAAGAGCAAATAGAGCTAAATGAGGCATGGCTAAAATGCAGGATCTGTTTGGTATTTTGAAAAAAAAACTTCACAGACATGTTTTATAAAGGTATGGCCTTGCAATATATTGTTCATATATAGCATGATAGGTCCACTTTAAATGCAGAAAAAATTAGTCATTGGCAATAAAATGTAAAAACGTTGGCTATCCCAACCAATGCTTATTAAATCTGTATGGAAATAAAATGTAGAAAAGAAAATAATTGGAATTTATCCTCTGTTTTTTGGTATTATAATATTTTAAATATTATTATGCCTCCAATAAATACAAATGAAAACGTTTTTTTTAAATAAAAAATGTAAATAAACAATTAACATTTGTGTGGCATATTCTTTCACACACAGTGACGTCAAGAGCTACCCACAATGCAACGCGCGCCATATATATATATATAAATACGCCATTTTCCTGGAGGTGCAAATATCCTGGAGGTGCAAATATAAACAGCTAGCTAACGTAGCCAGGTAGAGCGCACTAGGTTTTTTTTCTGAATTAACGACCGAAGAAATCGCTGCATGTCTTCGGATTACATCTCTGGACTTGAGGGGTGTGCTCTAGGTCGTTACCAGCGTAAACTAGAGCTGTGTGGGTTGTTACAGACTGCCTGCAGATGTATGGAAAAACGACCCTCGAAAGTGGCCTTCGTCGATTTTGGCTGCATCTACGTCTATCTTCTGGAAACACCAGGTGAATACCCCACTTGTCACAATAATATTATCATGCCATTGCATATATGTGGTATTTTAGAGTTGACTAGATATTGATTAAGGCAATAGACTATGATATTCTGCTTGCACCTCGTGTGAAATGGCGGATACCGGAAGTACGGTGTCGCCCTCGGCCCAATACCCGTATGTGTGTGTGAAAGAATAGGTGTACAGCAATTGTTTAAATAATAAACTGTTATGTTGTAGCACTAATGTAGTATGTATAGCTAATAAAGAGTAATAGTAAAAGTAATAATGTTGCTATACATTTGGGAACCATCTCCTTAATTAGTAATAAAAGTGTACGTGTGTGCCCATTTAAAGAATGGTTTAAAACAGTGTTGAATGGTTTTCCTGTTTTAGGATAAGTTGATCATGTCACCTTCATAAAGAATATAACAAAGTTGAAACTGTAGTTGGAACAAAGCAGCATTTACTAAATCCTGTTTGCAGTATTAGTCGTAACGAAATGGTCACTGCAGTGAAGTCACAACAATGGATCAAATACAAGAAAAACACCAAAGTAGAGCTTCTCCACTTCTGAGTGTAATCTGGAGACCTCCTCCATTAGGTGCGAGTGGACCTGTCACTCACCTGGCGGATGACGTAGGTCAGCTGGTCCGACTGCAGCACCATGCTCTTCAGCAGGCCGGAGTGACACGGCGTCACTCCTTTATACAGAGCCGGAGTGTAACATCTGAGGGCGTACCGCAGGTCGCTGGACGTCCTCCTCTCCTCCAAAATGTCCTCAAAGTCATCCCTCTTCTTCAGCATAGGGCTGTGCTATTATTAAAAAAAACAGCATACCATATTAGAATCAGACATTTCCATATTTCTGAGTTCTTGTCCCGGCCAATGACGTTATGTTTTCCTTTTGATTTGTTTGTCTGTTCGTCAACAGGATTACGTAAAAGTAATTGGCCGGATTTACATTAAACTTCAAGAACATTGGCAGCATGAACCAAGGAAAAACCCATACAAATGTTGGTGCAAATCTGAATCAAAGCAGATACACATACCTAGGCAGAGGTCTGCAAATCTATTATAATTTGTAAGCTATACATAGTTGTATATATTGATGACAAAGTCACAGCAATAGAAATAATAGAATCAGATATGCGATCAGATAATACAATAAAAGCTGTATGAGTTGTCAAAAATATTGTCATGGTGTAAACTTAGGCCAAAAGTCTAAGTACCAGTATTATATATCAACAGTTCAACCCAAGCTGAGGAGCAGTATTAGAAAACAATGGGTAAAATAAGTTCACTATGTAAACAGTCAAAATGTGGTGAGACAACAACACATTATGCTTAATAAGCACCAAATGCTCTGTTTGTTTGTTTTAGTATGGTTGTACATTAGTAGTAATGCATTTGGGTTTCACCTGTTTGTATGAAATGTCACATAGGAGAGTTAGCCACATTAGCTTAGCTCCCTGTCAAGCAAAGCAAAACATACATACCGAATAACCTGCGTTGGATGCCATCCTGTATCACACTTTACAAACTCATACACAATGCATCCGGTGAAGATATACACGCAGGGACGTTTGTCCGACTCCTGTCTCTTGAAATGTTGATATGAAAACGCTGAGGAACTTCTTTACATGGGCGTGTAACAAACTGGCACTTCCGCAACTACGGCAGCCGGGAAGGCTCATTCCGCCCGGTGGTGTTTGTTCACACGTGTTTTTTAACCAGACAGTTTGTTGTCATTTGGTTGTGATCGCTAAATCCCGATACGTTCGGGTATTTCTTGCTTTTATTTTGCTTGCACCATTATCTCAAAATGAACGGGAAGGAAGACGAAGATTGTCTGTTTCTTGAAAACATTTTGGATAAACTTTACGAGTTTGGTAAGTGCTGTTAGCTGTCTATGCTAGGTTTACTAGCATGCATTAAAAGGCTGGTATTGTGTGTTAATAATGTCTCATTGTTTTAACCGTTGGTCCACTGGCCTAATATAACTGCTTAAAACAAGATCAAGGTATTCATTTAGTTATTTATGGCAATTTAACTCAGTATAAAGATTGAACTCACTCTATAGTTAGCCACTGTTAGCTTCATAGTATAATAACTCGCAACCATGGTCTTAAAGGTGATTTTAGTCAACCTAGCGTAGATTTACACATTTATATTACACGCATTTGCAGTTTATAAAGACATTCAGAAACAACAACATTCTAACAGTATATAAGATAATAGCTAGTACTCACGCACATATGCATTGTGTAATTTTTCTTATACGTGTTGTATCTTTAATACTTTTTAATGAATGCTTCTTGGATAATACTAAGCTGTCTTTGGCTCTTTTCTGTAACAAATGCAAATGTCCCCTCTGTGGGACAATACACTGAGTAGCCACTTTATTAAGACCACCAGCAGAATCTAATGCAATACAATCTGTAAGACTTCCACTATCAACAACTTCAATAACATATAAACAGTCATTATTGTATTGCTTAGATTGTCTAATATGTGTAATTACAGCAACAAATGCTAATCATGTGTATCAAAAGTCGCAATGTGTGGAATAATATGTGTAATTCTTGCTTTTGTTTCTGCCTGATGGCGTAGATTATGGACCGGCATCAAAAAAGAAGCACAAGTCTCAGAAGAAGAATAAACGAAAAAGATGTGAGGAAGAGGAGAAGGAGGTACACGATGTGCGCAGTGACTCTGAAGATGCAGATCATGTTGGAACTGACAAGCAGCAACAAGTACAGAGAGAACAACCAGGTGACAGCAACACTCACATGTGAAAGACTTCATATCTTCTATTGACTTGTTTCCAGGTTGAATCCAAAAGTCATCAGGTTTTTTTTTTAATATTCATGTTTAAATTGCTTAAACTTAATAATATATGATCACTGCAGCTTTACATGTTTATTTCTACCTCTCATTTCCTCCAGTAAAGCTTCCCCACTCCCTAGTTTCACCTTTGCTGAACTTATGATGTGTTTTTCAGGTCCAGCCATCCAGCCGGCGAGCAAGGTGGAGGTCGTAACGTTTCAGGACCCCAGAAAGAAACCAAGGATTAAACAGAAGCCTCCCTCTGACAAAAAGCCTGTAAGTCTACGCTGCTTTAGCTTTCTCCGTGTGCCTACACAAATGACATCAATTACCCAAATCATTATGATTAAGGTCACATTATGACATGTTTTCAGGTGCATTAATTGTACATTGGCTTAACATGTTAGTGGTAAAGATTAAGTAAGAGTCGCATTTGTTTTTTAAATTTTATGCATAATGGTAAATGTAGGACCAACACCAAATTGTTATATTGGTTTACTGTAAGTATTTAGGTTATGTTCTGTATTTGTCTACCCTTCATGTTTGGTTATGTTTTACATTATGTGTTGCTTGTTAACACAAAAGGAGGTTTTGTTATTGAGTGGAAATATATTGATTTACAGGATAGAACAGTGGCATTAACGCTTATTTGAGAAGATAGAAAAAGTAGTGGTGGAAGAGCAACGTTACTTTTCTTTGGCAAGGTGTGACAAAATCCCTTTTGCAACATGAAGCCACCGGGGTCTGTTGCTTTTGTAACGAGAAGGGACAGTATACCTCACTCAGTGTTACAACAAGTTGCAAACAAACAATGTTAGCAAGTGCAGAACCTTTGACATTTTAAAATCCAACCTCATCCATATAGACGTGTGACCTCTAGTTGACCCTCTCTGTTGATGCTCTTCCTGTCACCTCCACTCACTTCTCCTCCCTCTCTTCTTGTCTTTGTTGTCTTCTACCTCAAGGCTCCTCAGAAGATAACGGAGGAGAAGGAGAGCGACCAGCCAGAAGAACTCAGTTTGGAAAAGGTGACAGTTATATCACAGTTTAATGTTGTGTTTTTCAGTTATATACTTTCAGTGTTGCTGTTTGTGGATTGATTCTTCTCGTGGCTTCACTTTGTCGCTGCATCGCTTTGTTGAGATTGTTATTTCTGTAATTATTATAATGTAGGTCTTTTAGAATATATCTGTTTTTTCATTCAAAGCTTCTATTGAGGTTTTCAAATGAAGCTTCAAAAAGTGTCATCAGATTTTGTGACGTCAAACCCCATAAGAAAATACCAGATTTAAGCGGCTAACAGAAAACTGAATAAAGCTTCAAACAACTGGTGCAGCCCAAATATAATGAACTTTCAATCAGCCCAATTTCTATCTGTGATATGTTTGGCTTCATACTGTATTTGTGTTTGTTCCACATCAGGCCCGTCTTGAGGTCCATCGGTTTGGAATCACAGGATATAAGAAGGAGCAGCAGAGAGTGTTTGAGCAGGACCGAGCCGTCATGCTGGGAGCCAGAGTAAGAAGAACAAATGAATACTTTTGGTGTTCATATTTAATAAGCATACTGTCAGAGAATATTTTAAGGAGATCTCTTTGTGTCTTGAGGTTCTCAGCTTTTCTGAGAAACTGTTAAATTACAAACATATGCTTTTCGTTAAGTCGCATATGCTCCTGCCTGTAATGTGAGGAGGACACAGGTCAAGAGGTCCTCTGCCTTCCTGTGGGTGAGAAGTTTGGCCCAACAGGTCTGTGTTCCAGTGTCTGGTAATGATTACGGTAGGAAAGGCGGGCTTTTTAGGTCCCTCCTTTAAGGATATATCTATCTATGTTTCTACTCTTTGTCTTCAGAGTGTTGCTAGGTGGCTCACATGAAAGTGTGATATACTTTGTGATCTCTCCGGCCGTATTCTACTCTCAATAAATATCAGGGTTTGACTAAAGCCGCTCCAGCTTCCATCCTTTCCTGAGCCTTGGCTCTGCATTGCTGCACAGAAGTTTCCATCACACATATCAGCCTTTTGAAAAAGCTGATTTAGCAGTTGTTAACATAACTATTGTCTCTTTAATCAGCCTCCTAAGAAGGAATACACGAACTACAAGATGCTGCAGCAGCAGATCAAAGACAAGAAGCAGAAAGCAAGGGAGGAGGTGCAGCCGGTGAGACCTGCATGCATTTAGTTAGTTACATCAATTAAAACGTATTAAAATAAACAATACAATGGTAATGAAAATACATAACCTTACTCTGAAATGTTCTTGTGCCCTGTTTTGTTTCTCTACAGGAGCTGAAGAAAAAGAAGAAGACCAGTAATCCGAGGTGGGTGAGACAGGTGTTCCTAAATATATCTGAAAACGTTCATGTGTAGAGATCACAGTGGTGTAAAGAATAATGAAACAGACACAGACTCGAACCAACAAACCGTTTCTTTTTAATAAGTGTCAAGAAATATGTAAATGATTTAACATTTTCCATAATGATCTCGAAGTACTTCCGAGGCACAGAATGCATCCTTCTAACAAACAATGAATCTTACTATCAGTGGTTAAACCCGTTTCCTGCGCTGCTGTTTCTCCTCCAGGGACAAGAAGAAGAGGGTGAGCTCTGGTTCTCGTTCTGAACCCTCAGGTCAGGTGGGCCGCTTCAAGAACGGCATGTTGATCCTCAGCTCCAAGGAGATCCAGAACGTCAAAGGCAACAAGAAGCGCAAATAGGTGAGTGGGTTCTTCTACTTTGAGCTAATGATGGAGAGAAATGAAAAAGGACAGCTACAGTTCTTATCTTGGGACTTCAAAGATAATTCAGATATTTTTGATTTTATGATCTAATTATCTATAGTCAGTAGATGTTGGTCAGCATGCCCCCAGTTTAAAGACACAGAAAGTGAACAGCTGTGGACAAAGGCACCACAAACCGTATTTTTCCACCTCAACAAATCAGTTTAGAAACTATATTTGAAATGCCTTACTCTCCGATAGTCCTTTCTGACAGGGAACTGAAGTCAATAGCAAGACTGTTGACAAAAACAGCCATTTTACCTCATTTAAAGGTCACCTATCAAGCTATTTGTAGGCAATAGCATAGGTCTCAGATATATACAAATATATAAAAAACATGTCTAAAGTGTTTTGCTCAAAATACCAAACAGATCACCCATTCTAGCCATGCCTCCTATCCCTCTATTTCACTTCCTGTTTCAAAAGTGCTAATTTGGGGGATAAAGCTTTAAAAAGATTGATTAAAAAAAAAAAGGAGGGGTCTGAGCTCATGCGGGACCCGGCAGCTACTGTCTAAACTAAATGCTGCCGTGATGAAACGCCATATCATGGATTATCAAGGATTGTCTCTGAAACAGTTTGGAGCTCAAAGGCTTTCTCTCTTGCCGGTTATACCACAAGGTGAGTTCCTTTCTATTTCCTGCTTCTTCACACACATGCTCTTGAGGTTGCATTTTGCATGATAGGTCCCCTTTAACTCAAAAGCTGCTTGTCTACCGATACCTCGATCTGTTCATTTGTGTTATCGTGCAACTTTGTAGTACTCAAACTAAGCCTATAAAATCACACAATAACACTGACAAGCTATCCAGTGGAGGCAGCTGTAGACCATCCATTGATAAAGTAAGCATACTGAGCACATGTGTCAATGTTTATGTTTGTAGGTGAGCGACTAAATCCTCCAGGATAGAGAAAACAGAATGGAGCAGAGGAAGAACGGCCGTCAGTGACTCGGCTGACTCCAGGACTGTTTGGATCCGCGCTAAATCCAACCTGAGGCTGTTTCCAGAGGAGAATATCAGAAAGTGGGCGGACGTGGATCCGCTTTACCAGCCTCCAAAATGGACCCTGAATGCGCTCAGTGGGAGGACGCCACTGAACAAAACTGGAGACTCTTGTGAAATAATTTTCCATCACAGTTAATTTATTTTGTTTTTATAAATAACAACAAAAAAGACATTTCAGTTTCTCGTGTTTTACACTGCAAAGGTTTTTAAATGATGTTACAATGCATTTCTCATATACAAACCATGAAGTCGTACAAAACATTTACATTGGCAGGGAGAGGAGGGGATCATTGTTAAAAAAAAAATATGATTCACACACAAGCAGACATGTTCATGAAGAAACACACAAAGTCTCTCATTGTAAACCCTTATTCACACGACTTCTTGACACCTGAAGACACTCCGTTCATGATGTAAACATTTCAGATCATTACAGAAAACCAGATCTTGTCACTTTAAAGGGAAAACACTAAAAAGTCGATGGTTTCCGAGCGATAAAGATGGCGGAGCAAGAGGTGTGATCTGGCAGTGTGTGGCTGGGTGAGGTCACAAATTCTCACACCGTTTTCTCGAAGCAGCTGTTGTATAATTTATACATTAAAAAAAAAAGTGTGTAAAGAAATATGAAGCTCATCTGCAGCACATTGTTTCAAGCTGTAAGCAAATCTGTTTCACGTTCAGATTCTGTAGCCAACCATAGACAGTAAATATATATATCATCAGAAGCCGTTCAACTTTAATACTGAACAAATTGAAGAGGGCACTATACAAAATAAAATAAATATATTTACATACTTTATAGAGTAAATACATCTGGCATTCTTTAAAGAGCTCAAAGCAGTGACATGCTTGCCCCAGCATTATATCTTGAATTAAATTAAATCTCACATTCATGGGTGGGTAAGTGTGGGGTAAAGGGACATGCCGTACAAGCACTCTCACTATACCATATCTAGACAGGAGTGACTTTAAATAAGCGTTCTGTTTGTATCTGTCACATTGGGTATTGTTTTGATGTATTAATTTAATTGTATTCAGAAAGAAAAAAGCATATTTTACCTGATAGAAAGTCTGACTTCCTGAATCTCCACCTACATGCTTAGTATTAGCTATTATTCCCTTCCTTCCTCTGCATCCTTTTTGACATCATCACAGCCTGCAGGCATGTTCCCCAAATCCTCTTTCAGATGAATGAAAGATTCACCTTTAGTTATCAGAGACATGTCTCTCTTTGCTCGTGGGCCTAAATTCCTGGTTGCAGCAAAGTTTAGCTCGGGGCAGATTTCTCTTCTGATGGGGGGGGGGGGGGCGGTCAGAGCAGTCTCACATCAGGCCAAAGTCAGCGGCATGTGGTAAGCTAGCGGTCTGATGCACGTCAGGAAAAAAAATCCCCTTTGGCGGAGAGTTTGATGTTTGAGTTCTGGATCGGGAGAAACTGCTCCAAGTCCTGACTTTGACACTAATGATGCATTCAAGTCACGTGGGAAATATGGGAACTGTAGGCGCCAGTTTCAGTTGGTAGACTGATACAGAATTCCAATTCATAATCAAATAAAATGGTTTTCTTTTGGACTATAATGCCTGGATTTATTGTTAGTAATGAAATGCTAAATTAGAGCTAAGAAAAAAATGCTTCTCTTGGCCACTTGAGGGCAGCAGAAACACAAGCGTTGACATCATCTTTTAACCTGATGATCTTGTTAGAAAATGGTTGCTTATTCAAACATCCAGCGGATACAGAGCAATGTTGACACTTCTTAGGTGTTGTGTTTTTAGCCAATAGACACATTTAGCCTAAATATTGTCTCTCTTTTAGCAAATTTCTTTGGTTTTCGCTCATGAGGGAGAAATCTGGTTCAGACGCTAAGGATGTCCTTATGTTTAGTGCTGGACACGTAGGCTACGTTGTTGTATCTACTTTTTGGGTCAAGATCAAGACAGGGTGAGTATTCTCTGTGGGTTCATCACTTTAAGTGACCCCGTTTCACATATGGTCCATTGTTGTCATAAGAGTATGGATTTTAGCCACTGTAAAATTATATTTCCCACATAATTTGAATGCAGCATCAAGTCAAATAATCCAGTTAAAGTAGAAGGGCTCTGCAGACTTCCCTAACACACCTGCAGTTTGTAACATTAAAGTTAACCAGTTTGATACATGATAAATAAATACATAATACCATCTCCCAACAAAAAGCTCTCTAAATATTCTTCAGTAGTAGTACTTTTTGAATACAAAAATGAAAGATATTACCTTATTCTACTCTATTGTTCTACAATTAAATTGATTCTTTAAAAAAATAAGGTACAGGTTAACACATTTTATAATGTCCCTGCTGTTGTATTGAAAGAAGACCTCATTAATTCCAATGAGCAATAGGCCTACCTATATTATTATTATCTCTGTTACCTGCCATATTTGAAGTTGGTGTTAAACTGCGAGTTAAAAATAATACAGGTTGGGTAACTAAGATGTATTTGCTCCCTGCAATCACAGATATTTGATATAAAATCTTGTAAAATGTAAATGACCGCTATTTTGTGTCCCTGATTAGACTTTTGAATATCATGAAAGCTGATCAAACGAGTGAGAGTAAAATAATCTGACAACTCTATATACAGTCAACTGAGATCAAACAGGATTAGTTCATTAATCCTGTCGTTGCCACGGCCCACCAGCAGGGGGCGAGCTGTCGTAACAATTGGCTTTCACATCACTCAAAGACAGAAATACAGACCACTATTTACAATACAGCCTCAGATATTTTGTAAACTTGTTCAACGCTTAATCCATGCTTTATATCACACATCATCATCAGTATTTACACTTCTTGTTGATTTCCATTCTCTCAAAAACCCACTTTCTGTATGGCAGGTGTCTTCTCTCTCACTCACAACATTATAGGGGTTATACATATTTCAGATAGGTTAAAAAGATTAATTTAAACATTTCCATCCTCCACTGCAATGAATTATATATACATGGGTAATGTAAAACAAACATATTTTAACCGTAGTCACAGTGGTGTGGTTGAATGTTGAAGCTACTCCTCAGGTGAGAAGTGCAGCATGCAGCTTCACCTGATGTGACTTTTTGAGCACGACACATCTCAGATGCCTGAAAGCGATTCTACAGAGAGACTGAGAGATGAGCACAGAGGGAAATTACCACGAGACAACCGCACTCTCCTCGTCCACCTTTTGATATATTATAGTAGCTCTTGGTCTTATGAAACAAAACAAAAAAGAGAGAGGCCCAGTTTGTTGTTGGAATCCATCCCTCGAGGTGGAAATATTTCCTCGAAGACGAGGTGAATCCAGAGCTGGGAGAGGCTGCAGGGAAAGCATCAAGGAAGGAAATGAATCAACCCTTTTCACCTGACTTTGATTCATTCAACTAGAAGAGGTACACACAACTGTGTCGTTTTGGAAACCAAATGAACAAAAAAAAAACGACACGCATATTTTAACATTTATCTCAATGACATGCCGTTTAGTCATTCTGCTATTCAGACAATGTTATTTGAAAATAACTTAATTTTTAAATTTAAATATTGATTGATATACTTTATTAATCCCTGTGGGGAAATTGTTTCTCTGCATTTGACCCATCCTAGTGTTAGGAGCAGTGTGCTGCCATTTTGAACGGCGCCCGGGGAGCAGTGTAGGGAACGGTGCCTTGCTCAGGGACACCTCGGTAGCACTTGGTCTTGCCGGGACTTGAACTGGTGACCTTCCAGTTGCCAAGCCAAGTCCCTATGGACTTCGCCACCACCGCCCCAAAAGTGAGGATCCCAACGTTTATGTTCAATTTAAATCCAGCCATTAAAACATGGAGTCTTCGGATCGATGAATTCATCAGTCCAAACTCTATATAGATGTTAAAGGGGCGAGAGAAACTCCCTCTGGAGGTAACTTTAGGATTTTAGCCTTTGCAGACCATTTACATGCACTAAAACCTATATACTGTTAAAAAAAGAAAAAGTATAAAATGGCCCCTTTAAAAGTCCTCCATTTAAAAAAAAAAAAAAGATGACAAGCCACCTTCAAATTGCACAACAAATCCTCACGAGACACGCACTGACTGACAAAAGAAAGCACAAAAGCAAAGTAACTAAATAAGACCTGTTTCCCCTGCAGGGTTTCCCATGCCCTGCAGATCTGTCTCTGAAAAATGAAATGGAGTCGAGCCCAATCCTTCCCAGCGTTTGGTGTGTAAACCTTTTTGACAAACGGCACCAAACAACCTTTGAATGCGATAAAGAAGGAGGAAAACCAGAACAGGCCGCGCTGACGGAGCCACGAAAGATAACGCTGAAAGAGAAGCTTTTAAATATTCCATGAGTGAAAAACATCCTGCGGTGCCGCTACTACAAAACACTCTCTTCATAGTTTTACCTTGAGAGCTGTAAAGACACCTGAGAGAGAGGCGGAGCAACAGTAAGCACCGAGGATTCCTTTTCTCCTGCTCTTCCTAAAAGCACTTTGTTCTCCAGGAGCTTTAGAAACGGATGGTGATGGTTTCTCCTGATGGTACGTTTGAAAGATAAATAGAGAACTTAAAAGCACAACATTGTTTCACTGCACAACGCGGGAATCTCCATTTCAGTCACTGCGAGGGCGGATTGGTTTAGTCTCAGGTCTGGAGGAAAAGGCTGTGATTTCCTTTTTGTTGAAAAGCTGGAAAAAGAAAAGATGGTAGCATCCCGGAGTTTGAGGAGTTAAATCTGCGATGTGAAAAAAGTATGGCAATCCACGGTAACTCCAGTTCTCTCTGTAGTTATATAGCCAATAGAAACCATGATGTTATTCTTTCATCCCACATTTTGGAGCAGGGTTTCATGTTGAAGTGTATCCAAGAGAAAGGGCACCTTGAGAGGGATCGGATAGGGCAGAATCTCATCTGATGTGACTCAAAATGTGGGAGCAAACTGCCTGTGACATGGTTGTGAGGGAGGGTCTCCTACTGCTTTGAATTTTTGGGCAGCTCCAGGCCCGTCAGTATGGTCGCCTGTAAGAGCAGAGCAGACTATTAGGGAGAGGGACAGAGGACAGAATGAGAGGAAAGGAAACTATGGAAAGCCGAGCTGGATCTCGGAACAAATGACGTTTAATTGGGAGGAGATTATCACATGATAACGAGTTGGATTTAGATACAACTCAAGCTGGATTCACTTGAATGCGAGGAGCATATTGGTCGAGTTTTCGGAATACTAATGGGTTCAATTTAAGAAATATATTATTTGCTTCGTAACTTTAAACGCTTTCACTCTTTTCTGTCAAAACTGGTGCATGTGCTGTGTCATTCAGTGCTTTGATTGGTGCATGAGATGTTGAATTTCACACTGATATTTTTGCGGTTCTACTACTTTCATGAGTTTCTGTATTGTAACGTATTGTGGTGTCTCGTCAATTGTGTTAGTTTTATGTCTGTCATTTCATGTTTAGTCAGGTATGTAATTCCAAGTCTAATCAGGTTTCTATGTAGAGTCAGGTTTTCATGTTACTTCACGTCTTGTCTGTCTATTTTATGTCTGTCATCTCTAGTCAAGTCCCCATGTTTCATGTCATGTCTCGTTTTCCCATTTCCTGTTTTATTTTGTACTTACCTCTTGTCTGTCTTTTCAGACCTTGTTACTTCCTCACTTTGGGTGTTTTCCCGCCATCGTCAGCGTCTGCCCCGCCCCTGATTGTTTCCACCTGTTCCCAATTCCCTCATGTTTAAATAGTCCTTGTCTCCCTTTGTCTTGTGCCAGTTCGTCTTGTTTCAGTGTGCTTCATATGTCCAGAGACCCAGCGGATACCAGAGAGGAGAGTTTTGTTTGTTTGATATCAAGAGTTTTGTTTTGTCCTCGCAAGAGTGAATTTTTGTTAATACTTTGTTTTATTTTTCTCATTAAAATATGAGTCGTTGCATTTGAGTCCAGTATTTTTGTACCCCGTTCTAACACGTATTACTGCTTCTGCAACACCCGCAGTATTTCATGTCTGTAATGGTGGAGAGATCCGTTCTCCTTCACTGCTTATTGCTACCTTTTTTTTTTATATTTAACTTAACATGCCTTGACTCAACACACAATAATGAATAAAGCCCCAAGGTTAAGTGTGATTAAATCCAGCTAGAAGTATAACAATTAAAATACTGTATAATAATAGTTAAAGTTACAGTTACCACATTTTGAAAATCAAAAGACATGCAGAAAGTACACAAAAAAAGTAAACAAGATACAAGTGAAAGCAGCATTGCAGTTATTGCTTGAGTTGTACACACACACACACACACACACATACACACACACACACACACACACACACACATACCATGTATACATCACTGCAGGGGACATTACATTGACTTACATGCATTTCCTGGAGACTTATCCTAACCTTAACCATAACCAACACATGCCTAACCCAAACCCAAACCCTAACCAAGTCTTCACCCTAAAATTAATGATTCCCCTTATGGGGACCTCCAATTTGTCCCCATAAGGGAAGCCAGTCCCCACACATGACTATGTAAACAGATGTAGGTCCCCACAAGTATAGTAATGCTAGACCACACACACACACACACACACACACACACACACACACACACACACACACACACACACCTGCACGTTTCTGTTGATGCTGACGGCGGGCACGAAGACCCCGTCCAGGCTCTCGAAGGCGGTGGGTCCGTGCTGCACCTTGTTGATGTAGAAGGTCAGAGTGTGTTTGTTCAGATCCAGCAGGATGCCCACCGTGGAGCCCTTAGCGATGCCTCCCTCCGCCCTACACACACACACACACAC